CTTATCTACATGTAATTAGAAGGTTAAGGTAGATTTTTATTTACTTTTTGTCCAGTAAATTCTATAATTTACATAGGGATGGGGATCAACTACTAGAGAAAGCAAAACATTTATTTTGAAAACTCAGGTTAGTTTAGTTGAACTAAATTTGAACATACTCATGATTTTAAGAAAAATGAATTACCTTGAAATTTATCTTTTGAATTATAATGTCTGTAAGTATAGGGACTGTGTTTATCTAGTTCATTGCTATATTCCTAGCTTTTAGAAGATAGGAGGTATTCCATAAATATTTGTCTAATATATGTATGGAGTGATGATAGATAAGAATGTAGAATAGGCCAGTATTGCATTCATTTCAGATCTTTTGGTTCATTATGATTATGTTCTTTTAGCAACTTTATGTAGGAACTACTGTGTAATCATTTCATTCTTATATTTCTGTTGATGAGAGAAGCAAATACAAGGAGGCTATGGGCAGCCCTCTGTAATAGACGTGAAATGGTCATTATGTTTGTTGGCAGTAGAGCTATCAGTGAACTATCATTATCCGTAAATAGCAGCTTCCCCCTGCAGCCTGGTCAACTCAATTCAGTATAGAGCTAGGTTTTCCGGAGCAGGGATATAAGACAACAGCAAGTCTCTGTGACTCCTTTTGGTGATGAGGGTGTAATCCACCTGCTGATTCAAGGAGGCAGATTAGTTCTTGTTGGGCCCTGCTGGTCATGGCACTCAGTTCAGTAAGGACTAGGTTTGAGAAACTTAGTGTTTGAACTTCAAGTTTTCCCAGGAAGGGATCAGTTGCTCGTTTTGCTGGGTTCCATTACACTTTGCTTTTGCCTTTATTATAGTATTTGCCTCATTCTGCTGAGTATTATGGTTAGGTGTTTCTATGTGTCATTCCCTCTTGATTTGTTCTTTTGAGTGCTGGGGCCATCTTGTCTTTGTACCTTTCATAGCTATAGCACAAGTTTAAACTGTTAATCCTTATAAGTGGATAACTAGAAGAATTATAAATTTTGCAAAATTATAGTTCTAACTGTAGCTACTTTTATAAGCCACATCAAATTCTTTTCAAACAGGATAGGTTTAAGTAAATAGCTACTTAGAAAAAAATATGAATTATAGCAGCTCTCCCCTCATCTTGTAAATTCAGAAGTCTAATATTTGTTTTTTGTTTGTTTGTTTTTGAGGAAGATTGTCCCTGAGCTAATATCTGTGCCAGTCTTCCTCTATTTTGTATATGGGACGCCGCCACAGCATAGCTTGATGAGTGGTGTGTAGGTCCGAGCCTGGGATCCAAACCTGTGAACCCTGGGCCGCTGAAGGGGAGCACGCAAATGTAACCACTACGCCACCAGGCCGGCCCCTGATAATTTGTTTTTTTTAAGTAACAGCTTTATTGAAATATAATTCACATTCCATACAATTTACCCACTTAAAGTGTATATTTAGTATATTTTTGAGCTGTATAACCATCACCACAAGCAATTTTGGAACATTTTCATAACCTCAAAAAGAAACTCTGCACATATTAGCTGTCATCCCATTTTCCCCTTTAACCCCCCCTGTCCTAGGCAACCATTCTTTTACTTTCTGTCTCTATAGATTTGCCTGTTCAGGTCAGTGGATTCATGTAATATGTGGTCTTTCATGGCTGGCTTCTTTCACTTAGCCTAATGTTTTCATGGTTCATCCATGTTATAGCATATTTCATTCGTTTTTACTGCCAAATAATATTCACTTTTATGGATGTATACCATATTTTATTTATTCATTTATCTGTTGATGGACATTTGGGTTCCAATTTTTAGCTATTATAAATAATGCTGCTGTGAACATTCATATACAAGTTTTTTGTGGATGTATGTTTCATTTCTCTTGAGTATATAGCTAGGATTGAAATTGCTGGGTCATATGGTGACTCCACATTTAACCTTTTGAGGAACTGCCAGACTGTTTTCCAAGCAGTTCCATCGTTTTACTTTTCCATCAGCAGTGTATGTGAGTTCCAGTTTCTCCATACCCTTACCAACACTTGTTATTATCTGTCTTTTTGATTAAAGTCATCCTAGTAGATGTGAAGTGGTATCTCATTGTGGTTTTGATTTTCATTCCCTGATGGCTGATGATATTGAGTATCTTTTCATGTGTTTTTTGGCCATTTGTATATCTTCATTGGAGAAATATCCAGATCCTTTGCCCATTTTAAATTGGGTCGTTTGTCTTTTTATTACTTAGTTGCAAGAATTCTTTATGTATTCTAGATACAAATTTTTTTTTATCAGATATATGATTTACAAAGCTTTTCTCTCTTTCTGTGAGTTGTCTTCACTTGCTTGATGGTGTCTTTTGAAGCACAAAAATTTTTAATTTTGCTGAAGTCCAGTTTATCTATTTTTTTTTAGTTGTTTGTGCTTTTGGTGTAATATCTGAGAAACCATTGCCTAATCTAAGGTCATGAAGATTTAAGCCTGTTTTCTTCGAAAAGTTTCATAGTTTTCACTCTTACATTTAGGTCTTTGATCCATTTTGAGTTAATTTTTGCAATCAGTGTGAGATAGGGGTCCAACTGCATTCTTTTGCATGTGGATATCCAGTTGTTCCAGCACCATTTTTCGAAAAACCTTTTGTTTCACCATTGAATTGTCTTGAAACCCTTGTTGAAAATCATTTGACAGTAAAGGGTTTTTTTTTTTTTTTTTTTTTTTTTGGTGAGGAAGATCAGCCCTGAGCTAACATCTGTACTAATCCTCCTCTTTTTGCTGAGGAAGACCGGCTCTGAGCTAACATCTATTGCCAATCCTCCTTCTTTTTATTTCCCCAAAGCCCTAGTAGATAGTTGCATGTCATAGTTGCACATCCTTCTAGTTGCTGTATGTGGGACGCTGCCTCAGCATGGCCAGACAAGTGGTGCATCGGTGCGTGCCTGGGATCTGAACCTGGGCCACCAGTAGCAGAGCGTGTGTACTCAACTACCAAGCCACAGGGCCGGCCCAAGAGTTTCTGTTTTGAAGAATATATTCACATTGTTCCCCTTTCCCCTCAATATGGTCTCTAACTTTTTTGTTAAATTAAAAAAAAATTTTTTGAAACAAACTTATAGAAAAGTTGCAAGTACAGTACACATAACTTGATTTTCTTGAACCATTGAGAGTAGGTTGCCAACATGATAATCCAGGATGACCTTATTTGTATGTATTTCCCACAAACAAGAACATTCTCCTACATAACCACAATACAACCATCAAAATCAGAAAATTAATATTGATGTATAACTACCATTTCATCTTCGGATCCCATTCAAGTTTTGTCTGTTGTCCCAATAATGTCCTTTATAACAAAAAGATCCAGTCCAGAATCATACATTGTATTTAATTGTCATGATCCTCTAGTTTTCTTCAAGTTGGTATAATTCAAGAAAGTCAGTCTTTCTTGACTTCAATGACCTTGACATTTTTGAAGATTACAGTCCAGTTATTTTGTAGAATGTCTCTCAGTTGTGGTTTGTCTGATGTTTCCTCATGATTAAAATTCAGTTTATTCATATTTGGCAGGAATATCACAGAAGTGATTTTGTATCCGTCTAAGTGCATCCTATTGGGGGCCTATGATTTCACCATTACTGATGGTGTTAACCTTGATTACTTTTGTTTGCTAGGCTTCTCTACTATTATATTAGTCTTTTTACTTTTGTGATTAATGAGCATTTTGTGGGAAGGCCCTTTGGGATTATATAAATCCTCCTCCTCATTAATCTCTCAGTTTTTTCATTTATTTATTTATATCTGCATGGGCATATAGATTCTTATTTTGTTTAATGGCTTATATTCCCTTACTATCATTATTTATATTGATGCTCCAGTTGTTCCAGATTTGGTATTGGGAGCCCCTTCGAGCTGGTTTCTTTGTTCTTTTGTCATGTCCCCTCATTCTTTGAGCACCATTGCTTACTTTTTGGCACAGCGTGATGTTCCAGGTTCATTTGGCTCTGCCGCAGCCCTGGTCCCTTTCAGTAGAGAATGGCATTAGAAATCAAGATCTGGGTGCTAGGTGTGCGTATTAGGCTGTTGCTGATCCCAGGACCTCTCAGGGAACAGAGCTAGGGAATAGTTTATTCTCTGTATGTACAGACATTTATTTGTATCTATCTATATACTGAATTCCATGAGTTCACATCAATAGCTGCCATTCCTGTCCAAACCAGAGGGCTCATTCTGTTTTTTTACCTCTCCACATTTATAACTTCTTTTTAGACTGTGAGAAACCTGGCTTCTATTATCTTTAATAGTTTTACTTATTTGGTCCATCTCTCTGTGTGTACCCAATCTCTTTGAGCTGTTGTTGCACTCCCCCTGCCACCTCTCATCCCCTACCCAAGTGGAAACTCTTTTCACCTTTATCTAGCTTTACCCCATTGCATTGGGATACCCACCTCTGAAGACTGTGTCCTCACTGGCTTGGTTTCCAACATTCTGTGCCACCGGGACCCCTGTCACTGCCCTTCTTACTTCACTCAGCTTCAGCACCCCATGCACCTCTTCACCCTGCTTGAGTTCTGAGATCCTGGGCTGTGCTGCTGCCCTCCTGTATGGACTTAGTCCTCTCTCACCTGTTTTGGGCTCTGACACCAACTCTTGGCCAACGTGACCAGCCCTACTTAATGGCTTTTGGACTGAATTGTTTGTGAAGGGGCTTCACATTGTCTTTTGAGAGATAATAAGTTTTTTTGGACATCTGTTCAGAATTAAAATTTAGTACATTATAAGAAGGAAAAAATCCCAAATAGCTTGAAAATTTCACTTTTCAGGCAATCATTGGTAGAGTTCTAAAAGGATTCCTTCTTTGGCTAATGTTTAACATTTAACATAAATAATATTTAATTTGTTTGTAATTATTTGAATGTTAATGTTCATTGGTTAATGAGCTGTTCCTGACTGAGGAAATTAGAAAACAAATAATAATTTACATCCACAAAATGATATTTATTTCTCTTCTAGCTCTTCCACCAAAGCCACCTAAGCCAATGACTTCAGCCATTACAAATGGAATAAAGGACAGTTCTGTTTCTCTTCAGGATGCAGAATGGTACTGGGGGGATATTTCAAGGTAACTAGAATGCTACTATAATTGAATATAGTTTAAAAAAATATTTTTTGAGAATTAGTAGTTAAAATAAAACATTTGAATGCCCCACTATTTGTCATTTAAAGATTAATTCTCATTTAAAAATGTGTGAGAACATTTCAAAAGATTCTGAGTGCTTTTTTTCCCCACAAAAAAAGTCACTAGAAAATCTTTGAATTAGGGGTGTGATTATTACTTTTAATACTATATTGAGGGTAGATTTCTGAATAAATAAAACTTATACGTTTAGGATAGTTACATGTTTTAGGATAAAACATACTTATAGGCACTTAATTTTCCTTACCTTTCTGTTTCTAAGGCAATGATTGCACAATCTTTGCATGCACAAGAATCCATTGGGGTGGAGCCTAGGAATCTTCATTTAACAACCTCCCCAGGTGATTTAGATGCACTGTTCACACAGCTCATTTTGAGAAACAGGACTGTAAGACAGATTTGCTTTTTGAGTAAAATGTGGTTTTGGAAAATTTTGAACCTAGAGAAGGAAAAAATATATATATGTTTTTTTAATTTGAATATCTTATTTTCTAGTTTTTAAAAAGCCCTATCCATTTCTGCCAAATCACGTTCAGGTTGATGCTGTATTCCTTACTATGCTTGTCCATCTCTTTGTCTTGTCTATTCTCTTCCATTACCAAAGTGGCACTCATTTCTTTTTTTTTTTCTCACCATGAAGTGTCTTTAAATGTACAGTTCAGTGGCATAAAGTACATTCACATTGTTGTTCAACCATGAGCACCATCCATCTCTGGAACTATTTCCTCTTTCCAACTCGGTACCCATTAAACACTATCTCCCCTTTCCTTCTATTCTCCCGAGCGCCTGGCAACTACCATCCTACTTTCTATTTCTATGAATTTGACTATTGTAGGTGCCTCATATAAGTGGAGTCATACAATATTTGTCCTTTTGTGACTGGCTTATTTCACTTAGCATAATGTCGTCAAGGTTCATCCATGTTGTAGTGTGTGTCAGAATTTCCTTCCTTTTTAAGGCTGAATAATCCATTATATGTATATACCACATTTTAATTTATTTATTCATCTGGACTTTTGGCTTTGATGAACATTTGGGTTGTTTCCAGCTTTTGGCTATTGTGAATAATGCAGCTGTCAGTATTGGTGTATAAATACTTGTTCAAGTCCCTGCTTTCAGCTCTTTTGGGTATATACCCAGAAGTGGAATTTCTGGGCCGTACAGTAATTCTATGTTTAATTTTATGAAGAAGACTTAATATATTTTATATTAAAATTAACAGGAAAACTTTTAGCATTGTACAATAAAAAGATCTATTATACTTAAATACCATTTAAATTTATATTTTAAGACCCTGTGGTTCTATAATTCGGGGGTCTTTTATGCCCTGTCATTTCCTTTGAGTGTTCTAGTGTTGTTCTTCAAAGTCCTAAACCAACTCTGCAGAAGGAATTTGTTATCAGTATAAATTCAAATCAGAGAATATTACATTGAAAGGTTGTGAGCGTAATGAATTTTTCCCCCTCTGATCAGACACAGCTGTCACTGTTGCTTAAATATAACCTTCTTTCTAAACTGGTTTAGAAAGGTTTTTCTGAAACTGTTTTTTCCTGAAACTCTACAAGTTTAGACCTGCCTGAGGAAGCCCTAAAGTCTTGATGGAAACACTGTCCCCTACAGACAGTTGAAATCTGGAAGAGTTTAAAAAGCATATAGTCCTTCCTTAGATTGCATAACACTGAAAATCAAATCAGAACGAACATATGTAGGGAGAGGAACTAAATAACCTCTGAAGGCCGCCATGATTCTATAACCTTAGACGTATCTACCTCCCAACTAGCCTTAGGAATAATATGTGAAGAGAACAGTTGATGCTTGCATTTTTTTCATTTTTCCTATAATTCTGTTCTTCAGGGAGGAGGTAAATGACAAATTACGGGACATGCCAGATGGTACCTTCTTGGTCAGAGATGCCTCAACAAAAATGCAGGGAGATTACACTTTGACTTTGCGGTGAGTATTTTTCAGCATTTTGGCTAATTGTTCTAGCTTTATTTATTTCTGGGTATACAAAGATGTCTTTATTTTATTTAAAACTTTATATACACATTTTTTCATATTTTTATTTGATTTTGATACATAATTTTTAGTTATTTGGCTAACTATCCTTTTTCTATACATTGAATATTTAAATGTCTTATTTAAAAATGGCAACAATTTTTATTAGTTAATTAATAAATTTATTTTTGGTGAGGAAGATTAGCCCTGAGCTAACATCTGTTGCCAATCTTCCTCTTTTTTGCTTGAGGAAGATTAGCCCTGAGCTAATATCTGTGCCAGTCTTCCTCTGTTTTGTATGTGGGTCACTACCTCAGCATGGCTGGTGAGTAGTGTAGGTCTGCACCTGGGATCCGAACTCACAAACCTGGGCTGCCAAAGTGGAGGGTGCTGAACTTAACCACTATGCCATGGGGCCGGCCCCTACAATTTTTATTTTTATGTAGCAATAAAACAAAAAAGCTAAAATCCCTAAATGTAAGGAAGTAAGAAGCATACTGTTGAACTTCTGAGTGAAGTAAAAGTCATGGCCTCAGCCTAAGGTTATTAATGGTATGTTTGGAATCCACCCCTCTAATAACCCTATTATTTTCTTCAATGCAGACTTCAGGGAGTAAAACTCAACATAATTTATGCTGATGAGGATATGTAGAAGATAAAGCAATTCTCAGCCTGTATCATGCCGTCCGTGTGGGCATATTAGAATCTCATAAGTGGTGGATGTATCACTTTTTATATTTACAAAGATGGGATATATATTTAAAAAGATTAGGTAAACTGTATTAGGTATTTCCACATTTAATTTTAACAATTAAAATAGCCTAATTACAATAAAGTCTTGTGATTTTATTAAAAAGGGACTGTCTAAAGAAAAAAATAATAACAGTAACAATAACATCTCCCTTGTACTATGCATTTTACATGCAATATCTTATTCCTCACAACAGCCTGATGAGATAGGTATTATTAATATTTCCATTTTATAGATGAGGCAACTGAAGCTTAACCTGGTTAAGAAACTTGCCTAAAGACACATAGTTAGGGGCCGGCCCGGTGGCGTAGCGGTGAGGTTTGCGCACTCCGCTTCAGTGGCCCGGGGTTCCCAGGTTCAGATCCCAGGCGTGGACCTACGCACTGCTCATCAAGTCATGCTGTGGCGGCGTCCCACGTGCAAAATAGAAGAAGATGGGCATAGATGTTAGCTCAGGGCCAATCTTCCTCAGCAAAAAGAAGATTGGCAACGGATGTTAGCTCAGGGCTAATCTTCCTCACCAAAAAAAAAAGACACATAGCTAGTAAGTGGCAGAGGATGAGTTCAAATCCAGGTTTATCTGACTCTTTGCTGCCTTTCCAGCCTAGTATCTTTAGGAAAGATAATCCCGTATTTTATGCTGGAAATTTGGAGTCACTATATTAGTTTCTGGTAAAGACATTCAGAAGTTAATACCTTAGGACTTCAGTTGTGCTGAGGAATAATCAGTGTTCTACAATGATTCATTCAACGTAATTTGTTTCCCACTCTAGTCAGGCTTCTGTCTCTGCCACTCTACAGGGACTGCTCAACCAATGGCCACTTCTCTCTTCTTACCTGACTTGACCTCGTAGCAGCATTAGTCATAGACACTTCTTACTAGAAAGTTTATTGTCTTGGCTGTTGTTACATTACACTCTCCTGAGTTTCTTCCTAACTCTAGGCTACTCCTTTGTTCAATATCTAAAGGTTAAGTGTTCCAGGGCTCAGATTTTGGCCTCCTTCTCTTCTCTTATTCATTATTCTGAGGCGAGCTTGTCCTGTCTCATGGCTTTAATATACAACTACATGGTGATGATTCATAAGCCTCGTCTCCAGCTCTGACCTCCAGAACTCCAGGTGCATGTATCCAGTTGCCTACTTGACTTTGCCACTTAGATAACTAGGGGACACACTAATTTTAACATGGTCAAAGCATAATTCTTGATTTCTAACCCAACTCCCCTTATCCAAACTGTTTCTCTTCTAGTCTTTCCTTTTTTCAAAAATAGAACCACCATCTCTACAGTTACTCAAGCCACAGATCTTTTTTTCCTCTCTTTCCCTCACCCTCACACCCAATCCATCATTAAATAAGTCCTGCCAGCTCTACCTCCAAATCTATATTCATAATCTCGTCACATTTCTTTACCATCCAAATCTAAGCATCTATCATCTTGCTTGATCTTTTGCAGTCACCTCCAAACAGGCCTCCCAGCATCTTACAACTGCTAATCTTCCCCACCCCTGTTGACCATTTTCTGCCCAGCAGCCAGGGTGAACATTTTAAGATATGAGTCTGATTACGCCTTTGCTTAAAACACTTTAAGAGTTTCCCTACTGCACTTAAGGTAAAGAATTTGGATTTTATTCTAACTGACAAAACTCTGTTTAACCTGGTCTTGGTCTACTTTTTACAACTCATTTCTTGCCACTCTCTCTATCCACTACATTCAACCCTACTAGCCTTTCTGTACCTCAGACAAGTGAGGCTTATAGCCTGCCTTAAAGCCTTTGCAGTAGCTGTTTCACCTGCTGTTTGCAATAGTTGTCCTTTCTGATCTTTGCAGAGTTGGGTTCCTTTTTGTCATTCAGATCTCTGCGTAAATGTCACCTCTTCAGGACTTCCCTAACCACTCAATCCAAAGTAGCCATCCAAGGATATATATTGCCTCAATTTAATTCTCTGTGTGGGCTGCTCACTGTGTGTTTTCTTCTTCTCTCCCACCTTGTCTGTTTTACCCCACTTGAATTTAAGTTCTTGGAGATCGAGGATTTTGTTTAATCATTGCTATATCCCCAGATTCTGGATTAGTGCATGATAATAGATAGGCATTAGATAATAGATGCCTAATAAATATTTATTAAATGAATGAATGGCCTTATTTATTTGGAAAATGGTTTTAATCCCACACTAAGGTGCCATTTTACGATGGATGGATTCCTAATTGCATCTAACTAAAAGCAATATATTTTATGTCTTTGGAATGAGGAAAAGAGCCTGCAGAATTATGTAACTTACCTGAAGCTGCAGTGCTCTTCAGGAACAAAGGCCAGCAAGGGGACCCACTCACTGCCTCCTAGTCTCATGGGCCACCATGAGAATTCTTATGCTAGAGATCTACAGCTGGAAGTGATCTTTAATATTGCCTGGTTCAACTGGGTTTCTCCAGATGTAGGAATTTCCTGCATAGCATTTTTCAGAAAGGGCCATTGAGCTTCCATGTGATCTTTCAGTCATAGGGAGCTAGCATCTTCCTTTTGGGGCAGCCCATTGTATTGTCGGGCAGCTTTAGAGTTTAGAGGATTATCTTTGTGCTGACTACTGTGCTAGGACCAGGAATATAGACATGAATAAGACACGGTTTTGCCCTCAAGAGTTTATAATCCAAGTGTGTAATGGTGGAATAGGGGAGACACATATATACTATACCTTAATGCAGCATGCTAAGTGTTATATTAGAGTTCTCATCATGCTCCCCTTCCGCCAGCCCCTGGTAACTACTGTTCTACTTTCTGTCTCTGTGAATTTGACTATTCTAGGTACCTTGTGTAAGTAGAACCATACAATATTTATCCTTTTGTGTCTGGCTTTCCCTGTAGAATAATGTCTTTAAGTTTCATCCAAGTTGTAGCATATGTCAGAATTTCCTTTTTAAGGCTGAATAATTTTCTGTTGTATGTATATACTACATTTTGTTTATCCATCGGTCAGTGGACACTGGCAAGAATGTTTTCAAGTTTTCGTGTATCTAGCACAAGGTCTGACATGTAGTAAGTACTCAGTAAATATCTGAACGAAGGAAGGAATAAATGAAAGAAAGACAAAGAGAAGGTTTCTCAGAGGAAATGACAGTTGCACTGGGCCTTGATAGATTTTGCTAGGAAAAGTGATGGTCTTAATTCAATTTAGTAAATACTCATAGCTCAGTACTAGTTACTCTGCAGAGGATCTAACAGTGAGTTAAAACTTTTGTCTTGGGGCTGGCCTGGTGGCGTAGTGGTTAAGTTTGTGCGCTCTGCTTCAGTGGCCCGGGGTTTGCAGGTTTGGATCCCCGGCACAGACCTATGCACTGCTTATCAAGCCATGCTGTGACGGCATCCCAAATATAAAGTAGAGGAAGATGGGCACAGATGTTAGCTCAGGGCCAATATTCCTCAGCAAAAAGAGGCAGATTGGCAACAGATGTTAGCTCATGGCCAATCTCCCTCACCAAAAAAAAAAAAAAACACACACACAACTTTTGTTTCAAGGAAGACATAGTTTAGTGAGGGCAAAGGGAATAAGAAGACTGCTTTGAATTAAACTAAAATAATAGGAGAAGTTCAAACAATGTGCTTTGGGGGCTCAAAGGAGGGAAAGAGATATCTTGTTGAGAGGATATAGAAAGTTATTGTTCATGGAATAAATTACACTTGCAGTGTATCTTGAAGAACAGGATAGGCTTGGATATGTAGAAAGTGGGAGGGGAGGTTGCAGGATTTGGTAACAAGAGGAACAAACATATGGAGGTTAAAAACTATAGAGCTGTATTCTGTGAGATGCAGTCGCCTTTGGCTAGAGGGTAAAGTTTGTAAAGAGGAAAAAAGTGGTAGGGGATAGAAGGTTGGAAAAGGGTTGTGTTGAAGAGCACCTTGAATTCTAAAATTTGGAGTTTGTATTTAATGTGGTAGGTAGGCAGGGGAAACTGTTGCATTTTTTCAGCAGGGAAGTTACATGATCAGACTGTAATTGAATAGAAAGAATAAAAGAGGATAGATATTAGTAAAGAGTTAGAAGGCTATTATGAATTGAGTGATAATGGTGATCCAGAATAGGATTTATTCTAGATACTGTTCTAGGAAAAGGAAATGATGAACAAGCCAGATATGGTCTCTTGTCCATGGTGTTTATATTCAGGGGTGGGGGTAGGAGTAGGAGGAGAGGGAGAGAAAATAAACATAT